CATCTAAGATACTGATGCAACAATTTTCAAAGGAAACCGTATCGTTTTTAACAAAATAAAAAAAGGTATAGAACTGCTAAATTAAATTTCCATAAAATTGCTATACTCCTGACCAAGACAGGCTGTTTGATAATTTCACTGGAGAAACTTACAGTAGGAGCTCTGGAATGAGATCACAAGACACTAAGTATTCTTCAAATAAGCTCGACAAAACTAAAGGCGTCTTTCACACATTCAACTTGCTTTGTTGAGCAATTTAAAATTTTGGTCGCAGAGATTACACTCTAACTAGACGAGTTAAAATTGAACATTCATTAATAATGAATTTTTGCTTCATTAATCATTATCCTTTGATAGGAAATTATGTCCTTTTTTGGAGAAAAAACTCAGTTGCATTGACATTGAAAAGTATTTTTGATAAGGTGGCAGCATATTAAGCATGAAGTCATGAAAACTGCACGTATAGACACAGCTGGAATATTGATTGATAAATCACTTGAGTCGCAAATTTATTCATTCAGAGGAAATCTTTAAATACTAACATAGTTAAAGACATTTGAAACATTTCAAATGAATTGGATAAAGATAAGATAAAGGAACACGAAATGATTGTAAAAAAGAAGCCTTTCTTTATATACATACGTTTGTTTAAAAGCATTATCTTTTGGATGATAAAGGGAAATGTGCTAAAAATTAAGCTATAGAAAATGTTGCGAAAGAAAACAAACCATTGTATAATACAGGTGAAATCGATCTCAATAATTTTCAAGGCATTAATCTTCCATCGTTTGTGTTATCTATATATTTTATCAATTTCCCAACGCGTGTGTCGACAGGACAATAATGTGTTTAGAGAAACATGATGGTTAACATGTATGCCAAATGTTATCGGCGAGTTGAAAGCCCTGCTCGAAAGGCAGATGGTTTTTTGCAAGCATACAGATATTATTTTTTGCATTTTATGTAGTTTTTACATTCAGTGCAACTTCAACCTAATCAAGTTTTCACAATATATATAAAATCATAATAAATACTGAAATTTGTAAATTTCCACCACATTCTCATGGGCGTATTTATTGGTTCTCGTGGTGTGTTTTAAATCAATAATTCAAAAATATCAATCGCCGATAGTAACAAGCCATCAATTTCCAACATACACAATGAAGTCAAGTCCAGTATGTCGAAACATTTGGAGGTAAAAGCTAATATAACCTTTTCATAGTAAGTGAAAAAATTAACATGACAGAGGTAAAGAAAAGAGCCACTCGATACAGGCTGCAAGCTGTTTTCTATCATGTATTCTCTCCCCAAACGTCCACTATCAAAAATATTCAAAATATACTACTCGCATTAATTATACCGCATGATTATTGCATTGATTACATATCTAGTCCAAGATTTCAATATTGTTGGCAATTATCAAATGAAATCAACCGTGTTCCATTTAGATGCTTAGTTACTGAATGTATAGCGTCAAATATAATATATAATGATGCTTTCGTCAATTTCAATCATTGTAGCTACATTTATGCAACAATGCTCTTCTTCAGCGCATGTATCAAATGCGTTTCAACAAGATCACATCCCTAAAAAGTCAAAGAAATAAATGAACATGAATTTAACAGACACGGTATTAGGAGAGTGCAATCTTGTGGGAAAACCTGGAGATGTGATACTAAAATTCAACAATCGATCTCACGTGATCAGCCAAATTGCCGTATCCATTTTCTGTGGCCTCCTTGCACTTCTTACAATAATCCTTAATTCATCTGCAATATTCACCATCAAGAATTGTCACAGCCTTAAACGAAATCTTTGTTATTATTTGGTGATGCTTCAGTCCTGCTGTGATTTGGTCACCGGTTTAATCACCATACCAATTTACGGATTTTTTACTGCTAGGAGTTTATTCGATTCTTACCGTGTCAGCTACGGTTCTATGCCTTAAGGTTGGCTCCTGTTTCATCTGGAGTTTCTTTTGCAATGATGGTTGCATTGAGTTTTGAAAGATTTATGAGCATCGTATATCCAACAAAACATCGAAGCAGCCTGACACGAAAAGTTTTCATGAGATATTTATTGGCAAATATAGCACTTCACATTGTAACAATGATATTCTCACAGTTGTTTTCAACAGTTTTCTTTATGATTTATGGAAGTTTGAGATTTCTGTTTTGTGTAACAATTGGATACTTTTACGTAAAGATATATTTAACCATCCGAGAAAGATCTGGGATAAAGAAATCAAAAGTTTGTGTTGTAATTACTTTCCAAGAAGCTCCAAATGACAATCAGATGATACTACGAGACTTGATGATAAAACAAAAATTAGCAAAATCATGTTTTCTCATATGCGTAGCATATTTTTTATGTTATCTTCCAGTGTTCTTAATGTTTTTTTTGACAATTAGACTCGAGAAAAAAGATCTACCAGCATTACGTCAATATCAAAGCTGGGGTTTTGCATTAGCATCGATAAATCCTTGCCTCAACTCAGTTGTGTTTTTTTGGACAAGACCTGTTCTACAACGCGAAATAAAAAGCTTGGTGAAAAGGATATTTTCATGCACGCCAAATACTTGAGTGAAAAACAAACACAAGCATAAGCATAGTAAGAATATGAAGAACGGATGCTTATGCTATGTGTAGCATTTGAGGATCAGGCTTAAGCATCTAGCAATACTATTTTTGGTCTCAATACGACTTTGCTGTAACAAACTTTTACAATTTACACTCAAGCTTTTTTGATGCAGAAGTGCATTCAGCGTTGCTTGAGTAAAAATCAACGCTGAATGCACCACTGTATTAGCATTTCGAAACATTTAAAAATACTTTTAAAAAATATTATATATATGTTGTAATGTATAAGACAATTTCAGTGCCTTTTTAAAGAATTTTCACTGGGGTGGCAAAACAGGAAAAATGGCGCAACAAAAAATGTGGCCTTGAGGTTTAGCAAATGCCCAAATCATGAAGAAAAATTTTGTAAAACTTCATTTTTTAACTTCAGCTTTGTTTTACTTTAAGCAATAATTCAAACTCTTTGTTGCTATAATCATACAGCTAAACATCTTAATATAACTTAAAAATTTAAAAAAATTTGCAACAAAATCTCTGTGTTTAATTGTTTCAACACATGGACGTGCACTGCGTTTTTCTTTCTTGCTGAAAAATGATACAACGACTGGCCTTGGGTCATATAAAGCAGTTGGGACACCATTCCAGGCAATAATCATTCTATCATTTAACATTTTCTGGTTGGTTGCTGTCCTCGGCTTTGAGTACAAAATATTATATGTTAAAGGATTTCTTTCAATTGTCATGCTATCAGGTGAAATCACAACTATCGCAGAGAGCAAGTCTCTAACTAAGCCAGTGCTGTCTAAAAACACAAAAAAGACAAATATTACATTTCTCAATTCTTAAAAGTTTTTAGCAACACATCTTAGCATATGTAATATCTTGTTATATTATTAAATCCTTTTAGATTTGAAGAACATTCACAATGTATTCGTTATGTTAAAAATTTTGTCTTCGTGATCTTTTCACGCCTAAAAGTAGGTAATCCTATACCGGAAGTGACGTAAAAACAAGAAGATCCTCGTTTCTTAAAATATAACCACCGTACAAAAATATAGAATTTCAATGGAAAAAGCGTTTGAACAGTTTTATTTAAATGGTTTGTTTGATTATTCACTAAAACGATATCGTCAAACATGCGGCGTCTTAAATTTATATTACGGTTGTTGGTTAAGAAGCTTCGCTAAAACGTCTTTAATGTCCACATGAACTTCACTATCACTATGTGTTTGTGATAGGGATTCACTTAATTCTAGGTTCGAAAATCTCATAAAGATGAAATATTCATCCTATCAAATAAATTGAAAGTGTTCTTAAACTCGATTCAACTATCTAAAATAGTTATTTTCTTGATTGTGCTTTAGGCATATTCAATTGTTAAAGGAATGAATTGTACAGCTTGCAAATTTGTATATATAGAAGTAGAAGTAGCTATAAAAAATGGAAAATTGTATATATAGAAGTAGCTATAACAAATGGTCTTGACCTCAATCAGGTTTAATCATATGCATTTTAACTTTTCTAATATTACGTAATGTGTTATCATTTAAGAATTTGTTTCATATTTACTGACGACACAGCATTTAAAGACCAACACCCGAGGATTCTAAATATATACACGCTACATTGTTATTGATAGCTGTTCCAAGCTTACCTGTCGCCAATAAATATAGATGAAAGATATAAACAATAAGTGAAATTCTTCAAGTAATATTTATGGGAATTTCATATAAGACTAAAGTTCTATTTAAGATGGCTAGTTGAACTTGTGGCAGGTAAATAGTTGCAACTAAAACAAGCTAAACTATTTATTTTTATTTTGCACATCACAAGATTTCTCTTTTTTATATTAGGAAATAGAGAGGTGTTTAGGATGCATTAAGATCGAGTTAACTTAGATTGGCTGTGCTGAACAGTTGGTTAGGGCGCTGGATTTGAAATCCAATTGGAGTGTCTTCGCACATACTAAAAATCCTTCCAGCAGTGTAGTATCTTTGTAAACAAGATCAGCTTTGGTTATAACGGCTTTTTATTCAAACAAACTAATAGCGAAAGCATTTAGGAATTAAATGTATCTAAACGATTCACATTTTTAGCGATGGATTTCCCTTCCAGCAGCCATGTATTTATTTTATGTAACGACATTAAAAAGCACATCACTTTCAAAAATGTTCCTCTATGTGACTGACACAGAGATAATTTAGTGACAAGCAAATGCATGATATCATTATGATATATCATACTAAATATAAAGGAATTGATTAAGACCTCATGATATTAATTACTCTCAACGAATGCTCGTGTAAAAGTTCGTAAGAAAAGCCAATTCCAATGTTACCAAATCTTTCTTCGATACTTTTGGCGGATTTAGTACTTCAATTTAAGGTTTTACCATTAACATTAAGCCATATAACCTTATGCGTAATAAACCATTTGGAGACATTTTATTTTCCATACTATTCATTGCACTTTATTCAATTAGACATTTGGAATACATATTCAATTAGACACAGAATATCCATTTCTTTTTGTCATACGATTCTTGATTTCTTAATAGAGGTCTTAAAATCTGTAAGTCTATAAATGTAAAATTACATTACGAAGAGTTCTAATTAGGCCCAATCAACATGTTTTCAAGCTAAACAATATTGCACCACGAAAATAGATTCCAAAAGGCTGGTTGTTCAAAAATGTTTTGGCCTAGAGTTATTTCTTATCAATTAAAATTTAAGATATATCATAGAAAACTTCATGACCTTTCACTAACGGGATGCGTGTATTTTTCAGTTTTTCAAACTTCTAACTTCAACACAGAAGTAGTTTTAACTTATTTTACGTCGATTGTGCTATTAAATAAAGCATTTTTCCAAAAATATGATTAAAAAATGATTGAGCAAATGGTACAAAAATTTTATCATTTATGGTGAATTTCAGGCATTCAATAAACTGTCTATAAATTTAAAAAAATTTCGAACATTTAAAACTTATCATCACAGCAAACTTTCTCAACTTTGCAACACGGAAAATTAGTGATTTTGTACAAGGATATTGTGCCTGTACATGACGAGCTCGGTTGCGTAATATGAGAGGAATTTAACTGTCCACGTACGTACATTATGCATTTGAAATGATGCTTTGATATCTCATCATGTAGCAACAAAATACTCTCAAGACAAATATTTTTCTGGTAAATATTCAAAGACAAGTTGATTTTCAAGGTTTTAGTGAATTGCAAAGTTGTTGAATGAAGTATGACTACATTCGCTGACATTTTTCTAAAAAATTATCAGTCATAGAAATATTCCAGAATCAGGATTTCATTAAAAATCCTCCATTCACCGTTGTATTAGATAAAGTTCGTCGAAAGAATCATGTTTGTGAACAACCAGCCTCTTGTTGCTTCCTAAATTGATTTTTTTCCCTTTTGGGAATTCTTATCGTGACTAGTGTAAGACTTTAAGTAGAAGTTGGTAAACAACACAATAAAAGAAAATATGTATAACGAGAATGCCCACAGCAGCATTTTTGGATACACGCAACTCGTATGGATGGCGTACTGAGTCTGCGCGATGATGCAAAAGAACTGTATCTAGAAGAAAAAAGAGAGGTATAAGATGTATTTCTTAAAGAAAGAGCTTTTTAATAAGGTTTGTTCACTTAGCCATGCATCATGTTACAAGCTGCCATATTGTGTATTATGTGTGACAAATGTTTTAGAACAATTTGATGAAATAATCTCAATTTTGAACTGGTACTGCGAATACGGCTTTCCTCGATCTATTTCAATACCTTTAAGTCATATACGTCAAGAGCAATGCGAATTGAATACATAAAAACGCAGCTAACAAGTTCAATCAAATAACTGCTATTTGTTTCTTAAATCTCGGAATTCTACCCTTTCCTGCAATCTGATTGGCTGTAGCAGCGGGTGAAATTTTACTAAAGCTTTATGCAGAATTTCACGATATTGCGTTATTTTGTCATACATAGGAAATTATTAGCCAGCGTTCCATTGTAGAGTTGAATTTTGAGTGAATTCTGAGTTTTTCTAGGTAAAATTAATAGCAAAGTTTTGATTGCCTTCTTTGCCACCATTGGTGTATCAGACTGCACAAATCTTTTAAGATTGTTGCTTTTAGCAACAAAATAAAAACTTTATTCACCGTTTATGTCGGTCAAGATAATATTGTTCCAGCGGACATCTTATACGTATCAATACAATTATTGTTTTTTTAAGAAGATTGATTTGGTCACTCACCAGCTGTAGCTGCGTCAAATATTTTTTCCACCAAAGATATTTTCTCAAGAATGATATTGCTGACATGGCGTAATACGTGTACATGATAATATGAACGAAAGAGTTCGCCATACAACTAAAAAATGCTGAAAATAAAAAACATATTAAAAATATACCACAAGTATTTTTTTTAATTTTGACTCCTTCTAAACACTTGTAAAGCTCGTAGGCATAACATTTTTCATTGCTGAGAATTCTGTCCTGAAGTTTTGGGAACATTCAATAACTTCAGGCAAGGCTACCCTCAACACACAGTAGCAGGATAAAGTGACTTTTCATATGCAAGAGAGGACCGAATGTGCTTTTGATTGTTGTGGAACAGAATAAGGTGCAATTAATTCATTAACAAATAATTCAGCATCAGAGTCGTGTAGTTATCAGTTAAAGTGCCTATGAAACGAAAATTTTTCAATTTGAATCATATTTTCATTCTACATGGTACTTTAAAAATGACAGTAGACTCTCTTAAATAGTTTATGCAAATTTCTTTTCATTATTAAGCTAGGGAAGTTTTTCCTTTGTTTAATTAAAACAACCAGTGATTTTATACTGTCTAATGAGTCGACAAAAACTGAGACTTTTGGTTGAAACTATTAGTAAGCACTTTATACTATTAACAATTCACAACAACGGGAGCTCTGCCCAATTAAGGTAACATGTCAACAAATCTTTAATTTCTAATGATACATTCTGACGTCACTGGTTGTATTCATTAGGCTATACAAAAACCTAGAATAAGATATTCCTCAACTCTTTTGGAAAGTCACTTGTCATTTTAAAAGTTCAGCTCAATGAGCATATCGAAAGAGCTTAAATTTCGTGTCATGCGCACTTAGAGTAGAAGGAACGAGACTTTGAAGTTGAAAAGCTATAATTCCTTACATTGACCACCACCGAACCACTTGATGCCAATCCATGTTACAACGACCATAGTAGAATGATGATAAACATGAAGAAACGAAACTTGATTTTCCTTCTTTCTTAAGATGAAGAATACCTAAAAAGATGCGAAAAGATACATTACTTTTGGTGTACGAAAAGACGAACTCAGAAAAATAAACAACAATATTTTGCTTGTTATTATTTATAGGTGTATTGAACTTAAAATTGAGCTGCAGTAATTGTTTTTCAAAACACAGGTCCTCCAGTGACAAAACAGAGATATTCTTCTCGTAGAACTTGTTAGTTGGCGATGTTTTCACCATTGAACAATTCTCATATGAAAAAAATATGCAAGAAATTTATTGGATGTACATGAAAAAGGTAAAATGTACGTACTCTTTATTTGCAGATTTCAAAGTCAAAAGTCAAAAGTCAAACAATATGAGTGACACTACAATTCAATACGATACGATACGATACAATACGATACGATACGATACGATACGATACGATACGATATGATACGATACAATACAATATACAATACCAATTCGATTTTTAACAAACAAATACTGCATTCAGGAGCCAAGTGTTTGGAAAGGAAGGTCGTTTGATTAGAGCATTACTAAATCCTCGGACACCAAACACAAATAAAAGGCTCCCACATCGTTAAAGTTGTAATTTAGAGCAGTATTATTGAAAACCTACCGTATCTGCCATTTCTATGATTTTGGAAATGAAGTAGTACCACATTGCTGACGTGAGCTAAAAGCCAAAAATATATGAAATTCCATACGTTTTCAGAGGCAATACAGATTGTATTCTGTGCTTCAAACATATTTCAAGATGAAAATAAGTCTTGCTTACCCTTAACTCCATTGGATCATTGGAAAAAACCAGGTTTTGACATGCGTAGCTGTATCCTAATGCGGTCGTCGAAATCAAGATCTATTGAATGTAAAATAGATACTTTAACCCCACAAGAATTCCATTTTTATCCTATCTAAAATGAAAGCCTGCCCTTTTGATCAAAAATATATTTTCTTATTTTTTAGTTAATGACAATGTAATCTTTAGCTTGATTAACACAAACTAAATATATAAGCATCGGCAGAAGAAAAGACAACGGATTAAACGAAGACAATCAAGGAGGCTCCCAGCAGTTACTAAGCAGGGACTGGTGACAATTTGATTGCGCAGTATGTGCTCATGTCGAATGGATTTTTTTTACATAAACGCCTGACTGCGCAGAATTTATTGAAGAGTTTTTCGTTTTTCCTTCGGTAAATTTTCTTAAAAATTCGTGAGGATGTTTATTACAACAAAAATTATAACATACGCAAAATAGAACAAAATCTAAAAATAAGTTTTCATGTAGTCGAAATTTTCTAATATCTCAAAAAATTATTAATAGAATTCCTTCAATGTTAAACATAATGCTTCTTGAATAAACAACAATCATTAAGCAAAAAATCAGAAAAATTCTGCAAACCGAAAAAATGATACGGCCAATTCCAAACTAGGCAATAAACGTGTAAAAGAAAATGCGCCCAAGTTAGTTCACATACCTCCACAAATATATAGACGTTGAGTACCGTTGTTCCAATGTTGTATATCATTATAAACCACTTTAAATTCACCGGCTCCTTTTGTTTCATTATCTTGGGTACAGTGTAAACAATAGCTAGGTAGCAAAGTATGGACAGTGAACAAGGCAATGCCGAATTGACGAACGCCCATTTTTGAGTTCGAGGATCTGTGAAGAAGTTCACAGAAATGAATAATTAAAACTTGTGCGTAATTTAATATTTAATGAAGAATGCAAGTCAGGTGATGTAGATTCAGAACTGGTGAAGCATCTATTTACGTATTAGGAAAAGCACAATAACTAATGCCTGGTTCTCATTAAGTCGCTTGAGTCTTCCGAGTGGTTTCGTTGTTTTTTAAAACGAATGGGACGTCTTAAGCTATATACTTCTGATGTATTCGCACTAGCCCAGCCAAGAGACAGCTTAATTAATTTTTGCGCAATACATTTAAAAATGGCAGCTGCTGTTTATCAAAGATTGAAAGACAAAGTCTTTTGGCTAGTTATTTGCTTCTTAAAATCGTCTTGCACCATAAAAAGGTCGTTTGCATTTCTAGAGCAAAGCTCTATCCAAGCCGCCCCCATTCGTTTCAGTCGGGTGAGTCATTTGAGGTCATCTCAGTCGCCTCTGAGATGTTCTCATATAGTCGCACGAGTAGTCTGTGAAATTTTGGCACGCACGACTGAAACGACTTGGACGAGAAAGCAAGATAGAATAATAACAATATACTCAAGATGAATCCCCTTCCATTTATATGGGAAATTTGATAAAATTAAAAAGAGTATTTTACAACAACTTGGTCTTTATAAGGTGAATATCAGGCTGATGAAAAAAAACGCAAAAGCTTCCAGCTATTCAAAAACGTCCACTCGGGTGCAATGTAGGTACGTAAGTTGAAAAGTCAAAATAAATCTATAGTAAACATTATTTTTGTATCTTAATTTTGCTTTTTTAATGCAAAGTGAGGGGGAACTGCTCCCCTTTCAGTAAAAGTGAGGGTGCTTAACCAATCCCCTCCCCTCCACCCGCGTCGACCCAGTTAGATTTACAAAAATGCACTGAAAACTAGCAGGTCACTACATCACCACTATATCGATCTTTAACATTTTTAAAGTTCAAGAAACCCCATAGGTAGGTCTTTTATTATTTTTTGATATACGATAAGCTGAAATCAAACGTTAACTGAATTCCGTACTTATTACATAGCTTGAAACAAGAAAGGACTGAAACTTTTGCTGGAATACCTGCATAAACGTCTAAGTCATCATAAATTTTTCTAATCGTTTGAAAATCCATTTTCATCTACAGCAAGGAAAACATGTATTATATCTTCACAATGCATAACGTCGGTCAAAATTGTCGTTATAAATAACCTTATTGAACATGAACATGCGCCGCTTTGACGATTGTTTAGGAATAAACGCACAGTCTTATTACTTCCATTTTCGTTAGGTATATTTACCGAAAATTTACTTCACAAGGACAGAGTTCCCTTCATTGTAACGTGATTAATGGTAAAAAATGTTGTCTACTGGTATCAACCTAAAGTTGTCTGGAAACTGAAGAGTATTTGAAACATTGTGGGAACTCATTATGCAATATGACGTCACTAGTTGGATAAATTGGAAATAACAATAAGAGGTACGCAATTGCGTACATGCGTCTACGTGATGTGGAACTTTCCAAACTATTATTAAATTTCGTAGAAATATTTTGAATGAGGTTCAATAGGATATCGATAAAAATTAATGCCTGTGTTTATCTTACCCATCGACGAATGTTATTGTTAAACTCAAACGGAATCATCGTGGATTGAATGCCGAACTTTTAACTTTACATTGATCGAAAGTCATTGAGAAAGTTGCCGAAATGTTTCCAATGCTTAGTAGGTAAAAGTCGACTGACGACACTTTTAGTGAAACGCAAATACACATTTTTACCAGTAACTGCAATGCGTCTAGGTTGCTACGCAACGTGGACGCAAAAACGTCAATATCACGAGAATAAAAAGAGATATGCATTTATTGTTTTAGAAAGCACATTATCATTTTAAAAGTTCTGGTCATTGCAAACATAATTTAACTTGCACAATTTTCCTTTCATTGGCACTTAAACTAACCCGCTTGATGCAAGAGCTGTTTGAACAGTGTGTGGGAGCAGCAAGGGATTGAGGTTTAGGTAAAATAAATCCGAGCCGCGAATTTTTAATTCAAACATATGTCATTGGTTATGAACTTCTGAGGAATAAAAATTTCACCAATGGATAGGCAGTTTTAATTTATTTTGCTTAAAGCTGAATCTGCCACGTTAGGGAGCCATTACTACCAGACTACGTTATATATTTATCAAAATGCTATCTCATTTTTCTTTCAACTCCAACAGACGAAAGTGAAAGTACTGTGATAAGATGTAAGGCAAAGACGAGCAGTGCAACATTTGGCATACTAAACACGAGCGACGAGCGACGAGCGACGAGCGACGAGCGGCGAGCGGCGAGCGACGAGCGAGATTAGTGGGCGCAAGGGAAATATAAAGAAGAAAACACGAAGTCAAATTGTCGTTAAACATATATGGTGAAGACAAAATGAAACACGAAATGAAATAGACAACTATCTGGCGACAGCCTGAAGTCAAAATAGACGAACAAATTGATGTTATAGTAAGTATGATCCAAACACAGGAGGTACTAAAAAAAGGGGCGGGAGAGAGGAAGGGAAGTCCGTGAGATGTAACTGGAGAATATATAATTTGTTAAAATGAAATATTTGTATCTATACTTTTCTTTTCGTTGACTGATAGCGATATGATTTTTACTTCGCTGAATATACGCCAAAGAACGATTCTGTAAAACAGGATTAAATCTTAAATCGCTCCACTAATCTAATTTAGTCAAATGTCTGTGGCATACCGGTAACAGTTTATCGCTTTGAAACAGGTCATTAACTTGGTGGACGAATATTAACGTTGATAAATTAGTCAACAATATGTAAGTGTGCACCACCATTTGGGGAGACTGTTTACTTGCATAATTTCATGACAATTGCAAGTACTTGAATGCAAGCGGTTGATATGTACATATGTATCAAATTACTAGCATGAATACCTTGTGATGTTGAAATTTCATAAAACAATTTCCGAAATAAGATGGTGATTCCTTTCGTACGATTTCGCATCCGTGGAGTTTTCGACAGGAAAGTTTACGCTTTGCAACAAGCCATTTTTCCGATTGTCATATTTTACTCGAATACAAATGATATTAAATCTACTTGCCACTGGCGTGTTGTACGCGAAGAAATGATTTCCATTGACTTATTACAGTGCCAATAACATTAATGGAATTATTTATAGCAGACTTGACAAAATTTTGCTCTCATATACATAACAATGTATCACGAGAAAAGTCCTTGGTTTGCTGCTCTTAGGGGCATTTAGTGCATGGGAAATATAACCGATCTTATATTAATTCCTCTGTACTTGCAAACCTTACATGCTCAAGTATTTATTCCCTTATTAACATACCTGTTATTCCGGGATCTTCGTATCAGCAGCATCAAAAAGATGTTAACATGTACTAAGGCCTCCAACCGACAGAGCTATCTGTGCTGATATGGTAAGGTTATAACTATTTGTAGGTCAAAATCGTTTGTTTACATATTCAACATTCCCCCTGTGTGCATGATCTACAATGAGACCCGAACGCGGGTGACTTGGGAATAAGATCGTACCAATGGTGACCTCAAAGTTCATGAAATCTTGGTAAATTAACAAGAATGATATGTCATGTTCGAAGAAAGATTAATGACTGTTGTAAGATGCTAGATTTGTTTTTTCTCTCAACTGATTCGTTATCTGCCCATAAGGTTTTCAAAATTTGTTGATAAAAGACAAAGCAAAGACTAATACTCGTGATTTGCAGTCACGAATAAGGATGTATTCATGCGTAAGTCAAGTCGTGCCATTATCTTGCCTTGAATAAAGTTCAAAGTTTACTACAACGAAGTACAGCGTGACATACACGAGTGATTTGATAAACAATTGTTGAATAGCAATTTATGGGTTATTGACTTGAAAGTATGGTCAAAGTCCAGGCAGCTAGACTGTTAGTATTGGGAAGGAGGCAGGGTGAATATCTATATATTCAGTTGTACCGGATTGAGTACTTTTGAAAGTGATCCGCAATCAAAGCTGTTTGTGTCAGCACAAATCCTAGCAGCATAACTAGAGCTTGCGAATCAAGTATCTGTTTCCAACAGAATACACATTACATATAACATCAAAACTTAGTAGTAACATTGCCAGCAGTTTTTCCACGAAAGTAGTGAAATTTTTTTCGGCAGAGTCGGCAAACCTCAGCGAAATTTGGCAGAATGACAATCTGCTTTACATAGTTTGTATGAACATGTACCAACATACTATGTTGAACACAGTGAACATCGTCAATTCTGAAAATCCCAATTATTATTTCACATGGTCTTTGAATAATCATGAAGAATGAGAAATTTAGCTAACGCTTAACTATAGTTTCACTCAGGTCAAGATATGCCGTACTCCACATGTCAAATGGTGCATGGTGTTCAAACATTCTCCTAGGAATGAAATAACAATGGAATTTTCCCTATGTTGGATGACATAACTCACATAAGGCATATCGTATGGCGGCCATGACGTCACATGCATACCAAGAATAAATATTCCAACATGATTGAAACAGCGGGTTTTAAACAAATGACAGATAAAATTAGCAGTCAGTTGATCCCTAATTTAATCATTTCACCTGGTACACCGTATGTTAACATCGTGGCGGTCGTGCTATATAGGAAACTAAAATGCCCTTATTCTCAAAGCTCGGCACACTCACTGACTGCGACATAAAAATCGCGCTTTCTCTAATCAATGGCGAAGTCGTTTCTCCAGCAGGAGCAAAATTATTGCCAAAATATATAAAATCAAGGAACAAGCAAAAATGTCGTCTTCGAATAATTTTGAGGCTATATTTAAAGCTTCACTGAGTGACTTCAAGCGTGAGGGAGCTTTTAAAATATGACGTAAATGTTTAATAACAAACACTTTGATTATCACGTGCCGTTTCACGCACCTACTCACAACCATTATCATCACACACCAGAATTGATCTTATGTAATGCTGGAGCATAATCATGATCTTCTTGTGGGCATTTTTGCGCCTCATTATAATGTGTATGTGGATGACTTTAGGTGTATCTCATCAAAGTTTACCGGTCACGTGTTTTACCTCCGGTACTCTTACTGTTAATGGGGAGTTTCATCCATGAACTGAGTACGTACAAAAATATATAAGGCATATGAAAGGCCATTCAGTGGAAAATAATTCTCTCGAATTGCACTCGAAACCATGCTAATTTCATATTAAATGAGAGATATATTGCTTTACTCAAACAAGGAAAGCAATATAATCCTTGTTTTTTATAAAGCCCATGGATGCTTCCGTTCATGATGCACTAAACTTATTAATGAGGGTTATATTGCAAAAGAAATCAACTAATTAAAAATTTATTATCATTTAAGATTAGCACGGTAAGTCAAAAACGCCGAAGTTGTTTAAACCTTTGCAGCATCCTTGGATCATTCGTCCACTACAACACTTGGGAAAATTATATTGAAAATGTGGCCAAAAATGCTGTCAAGGTAATTGGAGTACTGCGTAGATAAAAAATAATACTTGACAAAGACACGCTTAAAGTCATGTATAATATTTTTTTACTGCCACATTTTGATTACTGTGCTTTGGTATGGAACAACTGCTCCAATAGTTTACAGATTAAATTACAAAAACTTCAAAATAAAGCTGGCCGAATAATTACAGGTGATTGCAATAAATCTGCCTCAGACTCTGTAAGAGCTAAACTCTCTTGGGACAACTTAGAGGCAAGGAAAAAAGCGCAATTTAATGATACACATAATGAAAGGTAATTCTACAAATTATCTTTGAGTTTTTCTCAATACGTACTAATGAAATGTATGAATTACGAAATAACAATCGCGATCTTAACTTGCCAAAACCAAAAACAAATGCCTTAAAACGTAGCTTTGCATATAGAGGTGCAAAGGCTTGGAATAACATTGAAGACAAAAGAAAATATCCATTGCATGCATGAACTTTATGGATTTAATATTTTTATTTTTATATAGCTCATACTTTGTTTTTTTGTTTGTTTGTTTATTTTATACCTAGATGTAGTATACTTTTTAATTTTATTTTATCACACGGCTATCTGAAAATCAACTTTTTTATTTTTATATGTAGTTGTATTTTAGTATCCAAGTTGAGATACTACCGTGTTTAAATAAAGATAAATAAATAAATGAATGTGATAGTTTAATTTAATGAGAAGAAAACTACATATGTTGACAAAACAAAAAAATTGAACGCAGAAAAACATGCATGTTTTGGCTATACCTCCCGATACCCCAAGACAGTTGAGCACAAGAGCATCACAACTCACAAACCACCGAAGTTGTACGCTGGAAGAATGTCGTCGCGACCTTCGTCTCGACGTCAATGCCACTGCATCCTACTGACACTCAGCCTACGATGCTCTTTGACAAACACTACACATTGGAAATATTAAAAACTTTGGACTGGGTTTGCTTCACTTTATGCAAAAAAGCAATCAATTTAAGTTTGAAAGAATCATTTATTAAGGATTCTATTTTGCACTTTTTAACAGCATATCTTTGTATCGTATGAATTTTACCTCGTATTTGTTTCTTTTTTATTTCTATTTCCACCATCATGCAAGTTAAAACTCTTTTACCTTTTGAAAATTTTTTGTATATTAAAGGAACAGTTGCATTTGTTGTAAACCAATTTTCGGTATGTCATTTGTAATTTGGGGACGTAATTCTTAACGTATACAGTTAATAAGTCCTTAATAACAGAACTCGACGTCTTTACGGAGAAATATCGCACTGAGCCCGTAGGGGAGTCAGTAAAGACCGAGAAAGCGAGGTTATTAAAAGGTTTATTGTATGGCATTATAAGAACTGAAACGAAGCTTGCTTTCTTTCTCGTCTTTGTTGTTTTTTACGGGAGATAACACCAGATCATACGACGATGATGTACGACAGGCACCAAAAATAGAAGAAATTGATAAAATTCACGGGGCCTTTTCAAAAATTTCTTCGAGAACATAACATACAATTCAAACTTATAGAACAATTGAATTTAGACACAAGGGTTGCTGAATTGAATGCATTGATCAAATCACAATAGGTTATTCCATTAGATGTTGCAATCATTTTCATAACTCAACAGGATCACTACAAAGGGATTTGTGCAAGGAGGGGAATTGAAAATCTTAACTTTTGGGGAGAGTGAATGAGATTTTGGCGTGGCTTCATTACTAATCCAAGAGTAACTAATTGGGTAATCAAAAGATTCCATGATGCACGAATTATGCTAATTTAATCAACGTACAGAATTAGAAATTATTTTTTATTATATAAGGTTATGAATTCAATCAATTTCATTGGTCAAGGGCTATGATCTGCATAAGAGGACAAATGCACGAAATTGACGTCACAGAAAATGTATTATTTTTAAATAACAAGCAAACAGCAAAATATATTAGCATCAGCTAGTCTTGCTTTGAAAAACGGCGGAAAAGTAAGCCATCCAGTTAACATTGAGTTCATTGGGTACGCATGAGCCATGCACATAAAATGCACCGCGTTTGAAAAAATATGTGCCATGGGCGTTGTGAATTTAATTCAATATAACGAAGTGTGAATGCTTCAGTCCAAGGAGCGACAAAGATGAACATTGTTTCACACGTGCTCTTGCGTGTGCCATGACCAAAGTCGAAACACCGGTTTTACTTTTTGTGAATGCATCCTGACAATTGTGATTGCATACAATTTTTGCTGTTGAGAATGTTTTGTTTGAACATGAATGCATTCACGTTAAAATTTTCATGGGTAACTAAATGATGGATAACTTCAAATGAAAAAGTTGCCTGCTGCATGAATAGCAACAAACTAGTTTGTACATTTTCTGGAGCACAATTTTTGGAGCTCGCGTAAATTAATATTTACGCTAGAGCGCATTTTGTAAACATAAAAAATTGCTTGTTTCTCAATTTCTCTTGATTAAGAAATGAAATAATTCACGTAAATCACCTTGTTGTTACAACACCTTGTCACTAGCCTGTGTTCTGCCTTGAAACTTTGACGTTTGAAACTGACTTATATGTAATTTACCATTTACTTTGCTTTTTTGTCAATGATCAGCCGACATCTTTCGACCAACAATGCTTGAAAATTTGACAGTGAAATATTTGCAATATAAATTCGAGCGCTTAAAGAGCCCCATATGAACGCTGATTGTAAAAACACTTCTCAATGCTTGTGCAGAAAGCTGAGATTTAACGCCAAATGCATGATTATCGGCAATTGTTACAATGTTGACAAGATTAATGTTGATCCAATAACGATCGGTGAGAAAGAATCAATTAGAGTCCAGACAGCTGTGTATGTCTTGGTGTTGTCATTGACGAAAATTGAAATTGGAACATTTAATATTATTTACTATGCTGTTCAATTTCCAAGTCGAATTCGAGAAGAAAACCTTATTGTGGAAAACTTATTTTAGACTTTTGACTATAGCTCTATTGCACGGCAAAATATAGAATATTGCAAAAAATAGGATATCTGCT